AATGGACTCCTATGAGACACACAGGAAGCCATGTTGTGTGATTTGCTCTAAGTCCACTGGATCATCAAGGAACTGTCCATTCCTTGATGTCCAGTTCATTAATGAACTGTCTGCCTAACGTGTTCCTACATGAAACTGATCCTATGCTTCCAGTGCTGTGAATTAAGGAGTGGGCAGGGACAAGGAAGATACTGGACAATAGGTTGGGCTGGTGTGCGTTAACACTATGGATTAAACAAGCCTCCGTGGTGATTGTAGGAATCAGGTCATTCTGAACAGAGGTGAGAAAAAAGACCCATCAGGATGTGTTGGTAAATCTTGGGGTGATTTGCAGCAGATTGGCCGGGGCTTCTGTCTTCTAATGGTTTAATAACAGCAGCAAAATTATTCTTCCCACATAACATAGTTTCCAGAAACGAAGGTTTGGGTCATCAGGAGCAGACCTTTGTGTAAAAATTCTGATATTTCAGTTTCTGGCACTTAACGTTCCTAGGTTCAGAGCCATAGTGGTTTTTTTTAAATTCTAAGTATACATCTTTTTGTACCTGGCTCCAGTTGCTGGATCTTGACTTCTAATAAAATGTAACAAAGTGAAGTCTGCCAAGCCCTAAACACTTTAAATAGCAGTACTGGGATAGAAAACAATATTTTCTTCACATGGTCATGTATCTTTAAGAATCCACTTGTTATAGATAAGTAATTGGTTCAGTCTCCAGGTCCAATTTCATTCATTACCATTGAGGTGCTAACCTAACTGCCATTTGAGAAGTCTCAGCACCAGATGCCCACATCCAATCTCCACAGCCCCGAAGGAGGACACTCGAGGGTGCCATTGAAGGGCAATACTTTTTGCCATCCGATTTTGAGCCTAAATCAGTACATGAATGCCAAGGTTCTATATATCAATCCCAATAAGGTCTGGCACACAAGATGGAGGAGGCTAGAAAAGGCTTCAGCCTTTCCTATCAATCGCCTAGCATAAACCTTTAAAAAGGTGGCATTTTAAATTAGTATAAACCCATTTGAAAGCAACACATGTATAAATATTACTCTGCTTAAGAGATGTGTTTATAATGCAGGAAACATCTATAGGCATGGTCCATCGGAGCCGACCACAATCTCGGATGGACCACTAATTGCAGCAATACTGTTAGTATTGCTCAGGGATGCTTATTCACCGCATTTGGTTCTCTCTTATGCAACTGCAATCTCAAACGGATCCACTAAACACAAAGCATCAGCTTCCCCTTTACTTCAAAACTTCTGCTCAGGACAGCATCTATTGGCTTCCCTAAAGTGACCATTTTAACTTATCCAATATTACAGAACAGGAAACAGTGGACTGCAGGGGTGGAGTGAGACTTTTTGGCGTGCTTGTTTTAAACCCGCAATAGGACTATAGCCACAATCCCAAGCAAACTTCCTAGGAAGAAACCCTTCTGAATTCCAGAGAACTTCCTCTGGAGTAAATGTGCACAGTAAGTCAATGATACAAAACAATATGGAAATATAGGTACATTTGCTTATTTGTTTAAAATATCCCTGTGATATAAAATATCCCTCCCACAGTGAGGGAGGGAAAGTACTACATGGCATATTTTGTCAAACATTACAGTTTCCAAATTATCAGTGCTTAAAAAGGGGAGGGGGGGAGGGAAGAGAAGACATTCCTTATAGTCCATCTGAAGAATTACATGTAATCCTATTCTCTAACTTTGCCCAATAATTTACTTTTTGTATGTTAGGACAAAAGATTTCTGTGTATAGCTGACCAGAGGTTAGCCATGCATACCCAGCAGCTGTGCAAGAGTGAAGGACAGGACTCCGATGGGGCTGGGGGTGTCTGTGTATGTGGGGAGTGGAGATGCCCTTCTATAGGTCAGACACAGCAGTACCTGTAGCTGTGGCTTGTTTTGTATCTGCACACTACCCACTAGAAAAGTAAGTCAGAGATTACCAAATGCATTACTTGGATTTTGCGATGCAGCAATGCTAATGTCAAAAGAAAATCACATCGTTTAAATAATTTATACAACCTATCTCTCTCCATTTAAAAAACTTGAGTACTGAATTTGTGGAGCACTGTGGGTCCATATTGTTGCTATATATTTTTATGTTTTGATTTTATGGTTAACAGTGTGATTCTATACATGTCTACTCAGAAGTTATTTACAGGCAAGAGGACTCCAAACTAAATGTTTTATTTTGTATTTAAATGACTTCTATGAACGTTTGTCATAAGCCTTTCAGAGAACATGTTTTGCTGCAACATACCATATCCTGTGAATAACTTAGCATTATTCCTAGTCCCTGTGATTATTTTAGAAAATTATTCACCTTACCATCATCTTTATCATTAGCATTATTTATTATAAGATCCTGAATGGATCCAAAATGAATTTGTCCATCACCTCAAATGATCAAACATCCTCCTTACAAGTTCTGAACATCTGAAGTCAAACACGGCATCAAAATGTGATTTGAAGGTTTATTTCAAGCTTCAATTTGAAAGTTTTTTTTTTTTAATTCTCAGTAACATTAAATTACTCATTGCAATTCTATGGGCAGATTCACATGATTGAGAAAGAAAAATAAGCCTTCATAATCTATTTTCCACCCCGTGTGTGCTAGTTGCAGGCTGCCAAACTACCATAATCAGCCTTGCTGACCATGTCGGCAATTTCTGGTGAGGGTGTGGGTGGATTACCAACCACCTGGCAACCCTCACACAAGCCATGTATTCCTAGGTGGTTTGTAAACACAACCCATTCCCCCACCCTCAGTGGGTCCAGACAAAACAATAAATAGCAAGGAAAATAGATGTCATTCAGTGGCATGCACAGGGTGCAAAAATAAACCATCGTGGCTTATTTTCCTTTCCTAACTGTGTAACCCTGGTAGATACACAAATTAAGTGAGTCTTATTCCTAGGTAAGGGTACAGAAGACTGCATGCTTGGGTGTGCCATGCCAAACCCCACCAGTAAAATAAATCTGCCTGCTGCTCCAGCATCTGCCTGCTGGTGACCACCAGAACTTGAAATATTGCCTGCATTATACGGCAGTTATTATTTAAAAAAAATAACAGGTCTTTGTCCCCACTTACTAGGGACCCTATTTGCAGGTAAATGTTATAAATAGTGTTAAATTTTGAAGTGCAGGCATTTCTCCTCAAATGAGAATCTACAGATTTAGGCCACAATGTTGGCACTTATCAACAAACCAGTTCCAGCAGTTTTCACCTCTGCTAGGAGCAGGTCTTTTGTAAGGTGAATGGCTCCCTCAAGACCAAGCCATTCAAAATACTTTGCATTCCAACAAGGAACAATATCTTCTTGCTACAAAAATGTATTTTCCCTCTGTTGCTGTGAGGACTGCACCTAAAGTCAGAGGGAACAGAACTTCTGGATCTGCTGCATCACTTCTCGCTTGTCCCATGGCAGTGGGAACTGGAAAAGTATGCGGCAAGGACTCCCTTCCATGACAAAGACCAACCAACAATGCTCCTTGGTCTCCAGAGGTGAAGCCTGCAGGAGATCAGCCAGGGAAGAAGCAACCCTTTCCTGATCTGCTCCTGAGGCATATAACTGAGATCATACAGAGATTTGGCCATTGCAGTCTCTGGCTTCCCCACCCAGCCCCCTACTTTTAATGTTCTTCACTGCTATAGAGGAGGTTAGCCAACCATCTACAGGGCTGAGAAGGAATTTGTGCAATCAGGCAATGGCTTGTGGGTTCATGCCCTTATCTTTGCCATGACTTTGTTTTTTTGGCAGGCATTGGGGTATAACTCCATTTTAGGAGAAGTGAGGCTGAGATACCTGCTCTGTGCAAAGTGGCAGGAGTCCCTACAAGGAATCTTGGGGTGGTCCTTCAAGGCACCAGTCCAGCATGGGCACTGGCATGTCCTCCACTTAACACAGATTGCAGGAGGTCCCAAACCCCTACCACTCCCAATGGTACCCTGGCTTACAAACTGGGCCAAGAAATGGCCAGAAGGCAAGCTGCCCAAGGCATTTGGTAAGCTGTGACCAACAGAACTTGTGGCCATTCATAAGCCACACCTGACAGCATTTGATCACTGCTTCCTCCCTCCCTGTTCCGGAGTAGGCGCTGCCAACTCAATACCATATTAAACGGTATATTCCTTTATGTTTGTAGCTAGTGGTGACTTGAGTACTGCAGAAGCTACTTTGATATCTATGGGGGCCCTTACAAGCAGAAGGATCGAACTACTGGCCAATTCACACAAGCAACAGAGGCAGTTATCAGTCATTGGGGCTTATTCAGCTTGACACCCTTCCAGAGGTTGACTTCACAGGATAGGAAAGTTTTCCCCGTGCTCATTGATCTGTGCTAATCCAACAGCTTCATGCACAAGTTAACCAGACCAGGAAGAGACAGGAAAATATCTGACTCAAAAGTCAGGGTCAAAGGAGCTCCCTGTTCCAAAGTGGGCTGCTGGGTCCCTCCAAATTATTCCCTCACCCTAATGCCCAGTGAAGATCGCAGTAGCACTGGCTAAAACTAAGCAGCAGTGCTGCCCTATGATCCACATCAAAAAAGATGCATAAAACTTAGCGGATAAAGAGACTGACTTTAAAAGATGAGGTAACCCTCCCTCCAAATTGGTCTTTTTTATGCCTTTGGTTACAGTTTTTTTAAAAAATGTATAACCCAGATTTTTACCTGTAGCAATTGGAATTCTCTGTATAGGGAATAAAAGCAACTGTTATAAGGGAGGCAAAATGCATCAGAAGAGGATTTCTTTCAGCTATCTCCTTAAACTGGGTCAGGAAACATGTAGATTTGATCCACTAGTGATCAAGTACAATTTACTGTCAGCATCCCTCATCTTAACAAGAAATGCCCGGTTTAGAAGAAACTGATACTAGGTTCAGGTTATCCTGCCCCTCCCAGTAAAAACACTGTTCAGTTACCCATGATCAAACAAGAGAAAATTAACCATGCGAAATACAGGCTTTGCATTTTAAAGGATATTGCACTTCCCGAGTAAGGTGAGATTTCCGAAATATCTTGCAGGTCACCACACTCAGATTTGATGAGAGAGATAGAGAGGCTCTCAGCAGTGCTGGGCGGGTGTGCTGGTGAACAAGGGTGATGGTTCATGTGGTGAGATGACATCTTGGTCCTCAAACTTGTGGTCTCTCTCGTTAAATCTAAGGATTCTGGGGAAGCTCTGTCTTTCCCTGGAAAGGAGGCCGAAGGAGCACCTAGTGGGTTCTGAAATGGGTATGCCATAAGGGGAAGCGGGAAGGGATGGCGGAAAGAGGAGGAGGTGAAGCCTGTTGTGGCAGACAGCGGAGACTGATGGAGAGCGGCGTGGTGGCTGCCAGGAGGAGGGGCAGAGGCAGACTGGTCAGATGAATTTTTGCGGACAACTAGGGGCAGTGCTTCTGTTTGGTCTGTAGAATTAGGCAGCGGCACATTGCCAAAGGTGTCTAACGGGTTTGGAATGATGACATCACCAAAGCACTGGAGGCGCTGGTTGGCTGTGTGGAAGTTGTGGTTCTCCCCATTCACAGCAAATCTTGCCTGGGGAATCTGAAGAGGTGGGAAGACCTGAGGAAGCGGGCGGGCAGGTTTCGAAGAGAAAATCTTAACCACAGTGTCCACAACCTGAGACATGGCAGTGCTCAGCTCCTGCTTCAGCGTCTCAGCCAGATGCTTGCCTTCTGGTTGGAAAGTGTGTGGGCCGCCGTGGTCTTTTTCCTTGGGGCCTTCCTTCCTGGGCTTGTTTTCAGCAATCTCCTGCTCCCTGATGAGGGCCCGTGCCCGATCGATGAACTGCCCTGGGTCCAGCTCACACATTTCGTTATCTGACCTGCCCACAGAATCCCTGGCTCTGACATCCAGCATTTCGGAACGCAGGCTGTCTTCCGAGAGGTTGCCGGCATCTTCATCGTTTTCAGAATCTGTGCTGTCATAGATTTGGTAGAACTTCTCCTGCAGCTGGCGCAGCTGTTTCTGCATGTCCTCCAGCTGCTGCTTCAGCTGCCTGCGCTCCTCTCGCTTCTGTTCTTTCCTTGCTGAAACCAGCTGCTGGAAACTCTGCTGCTGCTGCTGCGGCAGCTTTTGCTTGCGTTTATTTTCTCGGTAACTTTCTCGGGGACTCACAGACTGCGGAGCCATCTCTCTCTCGCTTTCATTGCCCCTTAATGCCACGCTTGGGGAATGGCTCATCCCCCGAATGATATTCTCAACCCGGGCACGCTTAGCTCTCAGGTGCTCATCACATAACCGATCCATATCGAACTGGCTCATCGTAGGCCTGCCAAAAGGGGAAAGACACTCCTGGGGGCTGTCTCTTGAAGAGTTGCTGCACACATCCTCCTGGTGCACTTCGGAGCCGGTGCTGGAGAGGCCACTGGCTTGAAAACTGGGCTCGGTGCCACCATTTTTGTTCATGTTATTTTTCAACAGCTGGGAAATTATGGTTGCTCCTGGAAAAGGCATCATGGCATCTTCATATGAGTTCGCCCTCTTCAGCAGCTTGCGGAGCACATTTGACTTCTCCCCATCTGCATGCTGCACCACTGAATACTCAACATCCTGCTCTGAACCTTGGGGATTCATGGCACTAAAAAACGACGCTCTCGCCTTTGCAAAAAATGCAGATGCTGTCCCTACCGTCCTTTTCACTCCAATGTCAACTCTTCTTCTCTTGGTCTGCCTGCTTAAGAGGGCTGTGCTGTCATGGTCAGGCATCACTGAACTGTTATTGTGCCATCTTCAAAAGCTTGTCAGCTGGGCACAGCTCAAGAATCCTGGGACCCTGGCCAACAGAACAAAAGGACTGATGAATCATTTTCTTTAAATTTCTCCAAATTTCCTGACCTCAATCCTGAATCAAATGCAAAATGCATAGGCTCTGGGATTTATGGCACATTACAATTATTGCAATTTATTATGCACTCTGCTTGAAATGAAACATTTTTAAATATTTCTGCTCCACTGGTTTAAGATGGATTAAGATTTTTTTTAAGAGAGAAAGAGAAAGAGGAAAAACTGCTTAAGCACCAGTAATATATGATTCTCTTGCACAAATGCCTAAAATGATACTGTTTATCTTCAGAAGAAATAGTAGATTAGAAGAACACAGGCTCTGACAACCAATTGATTAAATTTAGGGTATAGAGATACATGTTACAAAAGAAGATGAAAGTAGGTCTTATTGTTAAACAAGACAGCCATATAAAATTTGGACAAAAGAATCAATTTCACTACAGAAAAGTGGAAGCAGTTTTAAGGCTAAAATCCAGAGCTTTATGTAATTTCACATGGCTTCTGGTACATTTTAATAGTTCATACAATCATAATAGCAGTAATGTTGTTGAATTCTTAAGTTGCCCATAGCCACAGAAATAGTTTTAAAAACTAGTTATTTGGGTATGAAACTGCATTTTGCTTTTATATGCTCAATATTTAAAAACAGATCTACCACTAAATATAAAGAAAATTATGTATTTCCACTATCCTCAAACCGATACAAATTATTGTCATTTTAAACATCCCAATATATTGCATTAAAGGGAGAAGGACAGGGGGGAAAGAGGGAAGCAGAAATTGTCCCCTTGAAGGCTAGGGTATTTTCACATTTCATAAGCTAGAATACAAGGCATCAAGTTGTTTGCAGAAGCAACACCAAGACATTTTCAGAACCGTGGCACTCTCCTTTAGAACAGCTTCCAAAAATAATATCTCAGGTGCCTAGTGAAGCCATTCTTACATATGACATTTTACATACACAGAACCTGATTTCCTGTAGTGTGCGTGCAAGCGCGCACACACGTGCACACCGAGAGAGAGAGAGAGAGAGCAAGAGAGCGGGAGGGAGGGAGAGCGGGAGGGAGACTGAAAGAAAAATATGGATAGATGAAAGAAAGCAACATCAATCAACAGCGTGAGAAAGGAAGATATCTTTTCTTTATGGGAGCAGTCATTGTTTCCCAGGAATACAGAAGAAAAATAATAAAAAGGCAGATAACACATTTCCTTGCATTTTATAAAAGGTTTTTGACATCATTCGTGACTTATTAACCAGTGATGCTAAAGTCACATTTCACATGAGGCACTGCAGACTGCTTCCGGTGCCTTCATGTTTAAAGCTAGCTATACCAAGTCAAAATTAATTTCCCCCCCATACTGTGTTTATCTAATATTAAACTTCACATTTGCTTAACAGAGCACAATCTTCACAATAACAGGGTATCTTGCCAAAGGCAGCATTCAGACTTTTTGGAGCTGCTCCCATCTGTTTCGGTTCACCTGTAAAAACATCTACGTGCTCCCTAGGACTGCATCTGTGGCTAGCTTTTAAAGAATGACTACCCATGCAAATAAGCATAATTTCAGCATGAAATAATCTGTACAATCAAGTGTGTAGCAGCCAGGCTTATAAGTGCAGTGGCAGTGGCAAAGAAATGTTTTAAAGAATGAAATCCATGTTTCCTTATTGTTATCAGTTGAAGGCTGTGCACCAAACCCAAATATTTTTAATACACTAAAGGAATTCTTAAGAGATTTTGCTTGGATGTAAAGTATGGATTGCATATCTACATTTTTTGAGTTTCTTGTATCCCAAAGAGCACGATGCTGTAGAATTCCTCTCCAGGATATTATAAAGCTACCATCAGTCACAGCAGTTAGAATTTTTATTCAGAAACTCTGCTCAGAACACACACATTTTGAAAAACAAGTTGATTAAGCATATCTGATTGAATTTAAACTAAGAAGCTAGCCTTGCCAAAGCCAGCTTCTCTACATAAAAAATAAAAAGTATCCCATTCCCTGTATATATGTATTATCTGAGGTAAATTTAATTATTCTCAGGTCATAAGGTAAAAACAGAATGTATCTGAAGGTCTTCATGACAAGGCACTTGGACAATCAGAAGTTCAGATAAAACAGGAGGCCTCTTTGCACAGAGTTATAATTGCTATGCATCCATGTAGCAGATTTACTGGAAATTTGGATAATCAGAAGTTTTGGATAATAAACATTTGGATAATAGGTAGCAATGTTTTTAATGTTCTGCTTACTTCTAGGGATTGTGGAACCAGTTCAAGTCTTTTGTGGAATGACAGGTGTCATTCTGTTCTCAGTTATTCACTACTTCATGTGCAATAACGGTAACAAAAATTCAGCGCAGCAACTAAAAGCCTTATTTGCTCCTAGGTTAATTGTAACTGAATGACTACTTCCATAAATAAAGGGCAAAATGTTCAGTTGTGTGAATGGACCAGAACTGAAGCCCATTTATACCAGCAGATAAAAATCTCTCATCACAGCTGGCTCCATCCTCAAAGTTCTTCATCTGTCTACGCCTCACTGACAGGGCTTTTGCTGAACAGCAACTTTTAAGAATGGGAGTGAATATTTACAACATTACTATAAGTGTATCATGTTTGAAATGATGCACAGGTCGCAGCAAGGAGTGGGGTGAACATTAACACTGCAATCCCACTGTGTTCAGTAGCATTTGGTCACAGGTAAGTGTACACGGAGCGCAGCCTATGCGTTGCTTTTGTCTATCAAAGAGGCGATGCTGTTAGACAAGTCAAACTATTGGGCGTCAATTTTACTTTTCTTTCTATATTCCAATTAACATGCATTCTACCCATATGTACATCATAACTGGGCTCAAAGTGAACCCAGTCATAAAATTCCCGATATACATTTGCACAATTACCACACCTTCTTGCCCCTTTGGTTGTACTCCATTCAAGGACAGAGTGAGGCCTACTGAGTTCTAAGCAAAGCAATGCCTGGACAAATGGTAAATCAAGAGAGGTCATAAGGTCATTGCCTTGAAGCTGCAATGCAAGGAAGCCATTTTCCTCTCTTACATGCCAGTGACCACCTCACTCCTTCACTTGGCTCTGCCTCCAGGTCTAAAGTCCACGTTGCCCCAGCAAACCGCAGGATTTATTGCTCACCCATAACACATGTTGGTCCTTTCGTCACCTCACTCTCCCTGGCACTCACACCTTTGCTTCCATTGATCCTAACATCTCCCTCACACAAAATAAAATAAAAATCAAGAAATTCTGATGGGTATGCACCTTAAACCTAAATAGCCAAAAATGTTTTATTGCCAAAAAAAAAAAAAAAAAAACTTGGACAATCTTTTGATTTTAAAAATGCCAAAATAAATTGACATCCTGAGAGAAAAAGAATACTGCAAGCAGCAGAACATGAGATTCTGAGTCAGCACGAGCACATACATTTGATATGACAAAGACTTTCCTTTTCCTATGAGAAAAAAAAATATAAGGAAGGACAAAATGGTGCTAGAATGATCAAGTGCACTTCTTTCCAATTTAGAGGAGAAAGACCTGTCCATAATCTAATGCATTTCTCATTCAAAACATTAGCGACAATCGAGATATCACTTAAATTCTGAATTTGACTTGTATTTACATATATTTTGTTTATTAGTTTCATAGTTTTGAGCTAAATATATATCACAAGTTACTTTTGACTGGATCTTCTTAGACAAACTTTCGTTTGAACCTTAAGATTATGCAGGCCTTGCAGGGGGCTCAGTGCCTGGAGTCAAACTACACCTTTTCACAACCCCCACAGACTACAGTACATAATGAAATACTGTTTTTCTCCAGTGATGCCCTTTGCTGTAGGCTCACACCTTGCCTCTCTATATACCAGTCCTATCCTCCATGCTGCTACCACCCCAAACATTCAAGCTTGCCACACTGAGGAAGCCATGGATGGCAGAGAATATATGACAGATCCAGAAATATCTGTGGAAAGGATTAAATGCTGACAAGTGCAAAGCAAATTCTTTAGAACCCTGCATATATGAAGGCATTCCATTCCTTAGTCCTTCATATCAGCTTGCTGATATGCAACGTGCAGCATGTTCAATGGCAGCTAAAGAAATGTCGCAGGACTTGCTGCAAAGGAATAATCTTGGATAGTGCAAATTCTGCTGATTTCCGCTAAATTGCATTCCCATCTGGACTTTGATTCAGGAAAAGGTCCCCATTCAAATAGCGGAGATCAGTAAGGTAAAAACATTTTTGGAGGACAAACTCAATACTCAAGTAGGAAAAGAATTATGTAGTCCAATTTCCGAATCAAAGCTGTTGACTATTAAGGAAAAAGAAAAAACCCTGAACAGACACTCAAAGGAGGAAAAAATCATCTTGCAAAGTTCAAAATTTGTTTCTTTTTACAGAATCCAGCTATTCTTTCTCCTCCAGTGTCCACAGGCTTATACTGCATATGCAACTAAGAGATGCGATGAAGCAGTCAATTTAGGGAAATACATGTGAGGTAAAACTGTTCTAACTGGACAGGACCATGGCAAAATGGATTAAGGAGCAGCAATTAATTACAGCAATTGTGAAATATAAGAATACGACATTGCATAGATCTACTTGGAAGTTTAACGTCACTTTACTACCCTTCTTAACTGTAGAAGGAATATGTAAAATTAAAATTTCTGCAATGGTGATGGTCTGAGTGCTTATAAGAAAGAACTATGGTATAACCTTGACAAATTAAAGTGTGAAGAAATGTAAAAGTATGGGTAATTAATAGTTATTTTAGTTATTAATAGCTATTTATTGCAACTTTTAAACTTCATTCAAATGTTAAGACATTGCATTTAAACTAATTAAGGCGATGTATGTGTGCACGCTAGTCATTAGTTAAAGAAAGAAATTAGACTGCTCTTTAGCATCATGGGCACATGGGGACCAATCTGGCAAGGTACTAAAAAGATACTGTGAGGTACTTAGCATTCTCACTCCCACATAATATAGAAGGTACAAAGTGTCTTGATGACTAAAAGAAATTGATATCTTATTTGCTTGTTGGTTTTTGAGTGTTTTTTGGGGAAGAGAGAACCCCTTTCTTACATGAATATATTTGCAGGTTACACAAACTAGACAATGAGTTTGTGCAAGCAATATATAAAAGGGCATTCTTTCCTAAGCAGAGCACAAATGTGCCCGTATATCAGCCCTGCAACCTAATGTTTTGATGCATAACTGGGGAGAAAGCACATTATCAAAATCAACATTTGTACCATTACATCAGTGTATCTGTTGTTGCAACACAGACTTTCCTAGTTCTCCTCCCCACCCCACCCCAACAAAGGTATAGATCCTCCAATCAGAGTACGGAGTCAAATCACCCACAGAGCATACTTAAGAGAAATAACTCAGCATTTTGCGGTGGAGCAGTTTAGGCATCCATCATCAAACACCTTGTGCACTGAAAGGTGACACAGAAATAATCAAGAGCAATAACCAACAATCTGGAATTTAATTTTGACCTGCTCATTGAAACAAGTCCTACTGGTAACAGACCAGCCTCCTTTAAATTCTGAATGGCTGCAAAGTTACATATTACAGTACTGTTTCAATAAGATTGTATAGTATATAAAACATTGCAAATTGGCAGCAAATGATGAATAAGATGGCTTTAAACTTCTCTTGCAGGGAGTGAGTCTTAAATGGCTACTTTGGAATTGTAAGAACTTTTTTTCTTTTTTTATCAAAGGTGAACTTTGGAAGAAAAAGCAGATGGCATATGTTATGGAAAAGGCCTTGAAGTATTACGCTATGAAAAAAAAACTTTTGGTGACAGATTTAGAAAAAGAAGTGTTAATTTAAGGCACAAAAACCATCTGACCACATACAAATCCATTTATAAGCAACTAGATGAATTTTAAACTTGTCAGACCTGTCAAGGTGATGGAAGCAAGCACCAAACAGTGTTCTCCATTTTTAATCTAATAGTTTAACGGCTGTGTTTCACATACCCTCCATTAACCTAGTAGATGACATTAACTTGAACAAATGACAGATTCTCGTATGTATGCATACAGGCTTTATGCATGCATATTCAATTGCAAACTACGGACCCACAACTTTGGAAATGTGGACTGGTGAGAAGGTGAGGAAAAGAGGATGAAAGACCAATATGGCCATTTCATCTTTGATAAACTGAAACAGAATTTGATAGCCCATTCAGAATTTTATTTCAAATACGCATTACAGATTATCTCTGTATCTTGAGACTGCCTGAGCATACCTAACCCACTTTCTCATGCTGAACTATACATAACCTGCTTTTAATGGAAACAGAAAAGACAAAACCAGAATCCAAGAAACAAGGCCCAGTTCTAGACATATTTACTGAGAAATTACCCTGCAAAGTTTCGTGAGAGTTACTCCCAGGTAGTTTTACAGTTGTGCAGTTGTAGGTGGCAATTACATGAAAGTAAGTCCTACAGAATCCTATGGGGCTAATTTCTGAGCAAGCATAGTTAGGACTGGGCTGCCAGATAATGAGTCGTCTATTTAGAAGGTTAAAACAAAACCAAAAAGGGCCTCATGCTGCAAACCTATATGCAGATTCGCTTGGGACTAACTTCTAAATAATCTTGTGTAGGACCTGCCCCATCAGGATGCAGTGCTGTACATACCTCTTTGGGAAAAGGTCTCACTGAATTACTTCCAAATAAACATGCACAGGAGAGCATTGCATGCTCTCACCCCATCAAGTGATGATGATGTAATAATAATAATAATAATAATCTGAACCATCAGGCCCTGCTGGCCAATGCATAAAGAAGTAAGGGCCAGACTTTGGACTTGCTTTTTCCGTGCTACCTCTGGAACTTGCACTGTGGGTGGGGAACACGCCCTGCTCAGGACCACTTTCTGTTGCCCCCTCCTGTCCCACAACTTTCAATGTTTCCAAGAGAATCCAACAGTCAGACGAGCTCCCTCAGTAAATCTACAGTCCCTGTCCTAACAAAGCGCCATAAATTCATAAACAGAGGGAGAGAAACTTGCACCTGTCTTTCTTGACACAACACACCTGTCTGGCGCTGCCCATGTGCAGTTGGAGCTAAGCTCCCCTTGTACAATTTCAATAGCTTTGCCAAAGCGGAGGCAAAGAAAGAGAAGCGCACGAACAACCCCCCCCACCCCGCCCCTGTTGGAAGAGGCCACCGGGGGCTGTTACAACCGCTTTATAGTCAAAACTGCTGCTCGATCGCTGCTTTACAACTGGCCGCCCCCCGCTCCTCTTCTCGTATGCCAAGCTCTCCAGACACCCCCCTGGCCCCGTTCACCATCCCCACCTGCCGTGTATTTCTTTTAAGGCGCAATCTCCCATTCTTACGGGCGCATTTTAAAGCAACTTTGGGGTTCGCTGTGCCCCTCCTTTTTCCCTTTTTAATTAAATAAACCGTGGGACGCATCCGCGGACACTACACGCAGTTCTCGGACTGTAGCAAGAAAGCGAGATCTTCGCTCCGGGGGTGGGTGCGTGCGTGGGTGGGTAGGACAAGAAGCTTTGCCATATTGAGTTTGTGCATGAAGTGGATATAATGCCACAAAGTAGCCACGAAGCCTTAAAGGGGGGAGGGGAGGGGTAGAGGGAACGTGTCCCACCACACAAGGCTTTTCCCCGTGTGCCAAAAGACCCCTTTGCCCCTTCAGCGCTAAGGTCCAAACGTGCATATGCAGGCAAGCAAACACGCGCGCGCGCGCGCGCACACACACACTCACACACAGAGAGAGAGAGCGAGCGAGCGAGCGAGCGAGCGAGCACCTCTTCTACCATCGGCTAGTTCTGAAGCACTTCGGTTCAAGGCAACCGGGGCGACTCTCGAGTAAGCCGGCTGAGAGAGGGAGTCTATTCTTCTCACTCAGATGGAAGCTTTTAAAAAAGTCACTGAGTTGGAGAAAGACTTGGAGAAAAACCCTCTGAAACCAATGGGACAAGTTTGCCATTGAGACTAACTCTAGTTCCATTGATTTCAATAGGTCTACTCAGAGCCGGACTAGTCCGGATGATTCAATCCAGGGTACACATATACACCAGGCATGGCAAAGCAAGACAGGCATCAATTTCTGATGCATCTCCAAAAACCGAGGGGGAAAGACAAGGCACACACGTTACTATTATAGGATCTCTGAAACATGCACGAAACTATTTGGGAGAAAAGAGGTTCACTCCCCCTCTAAGCCCCCTCCCCCAAACCCCATGCATATCTACTGAGAACTAAACGCCCACTAATACCAGGGGAAGCAGCCTTCTAAGCCAGAGAGCGACCTGGCCCTAAAAACCTGACCCCTAAAACTTGCAGTCCAATTCTTCCATCAACCACCCAACTGCACTCTTCCATCCATTTCTCCAACTCTTCCCAGGGTTTGAACTCGGTAGGGGTTTTTTTTTTGGGGGGGGGGGAATAATTCAAAGACTCCTCCCTTTTCCCACTTGTGTGTGCGTGTGTGTTTTTAAAATTCTTCTTCTGTGTATTTTCACATTAAATACCAAAAGGAGAAAAAAGTGGATGAGAGAGGGAGAGAAGTCAGGGACATGCAAATGATAAGCAAATCGAAGGAGACAAGAAGAAAGGCGGCGATTAATTAATAAACAAGACAAAGAAGCGAGACCAGACCAGGAGTTAGAAAGGGAACGGGTTAGGGGGAGGGGGGAGAGGAGGAAGGAACCTCGGGACTATATACTCATACAAAGCGGGACCATCCCCCCGTATTTTAAACAACCGTAATAACTAGGAAACAACAGTATCAGTTAAAAGGCTGCGGGCTTGCCGGGGCGGGGAAAGGGGGTGCAGGTGGAAAGCAGAAAGCCCATCGAGGAAAATCAGAATTAAAGAAAACCCCTCCCACGCCTCCCTCGTCCTTTTCCAACGGGACGAGCTATTGCGATGGCTTCACCGAAGCTTAGGAGTTCTTCCCAATAAAGCCCGTTATGGGTTTAATAGTTTCCACAAGCGCATTGAAAGAGTGCCGGGTCGGGGCGGGGGGCAGGCAGGAGAAACGCGATGGGGAGGGGGCTTCCTCGGAGAGGGAGCGAGGAGACGCACCCCCGGCGCCCGACTCGACCCAGCCTTTCGAGGGAGTCGGTGCTCCGAGCGCCCCACTCCTGCCCCCCCCCCAGGAGAAGGGAGCGCGAGAAGACGGGAGAAGTGAAGCGGAGACCGATACTTACTCAGTCGCAACGGCGAGGAAACTGAGCCCCCCTCTCTCTCCCTCGCTCGCTCGCTCGCGCTCTCGCTGCCCCCTCCCTCCTCCGGCCGCGGAGATGGGCGGCGAGCGAGACAGAGACCCAGCGAGGGACGCGCGCTCGCCGGCGCACACGCAGCCTCGAGCCCTTCCTGCCGCCGCCGCCGCCGCCGCTCAGCCTCGCAATTGGCCACAGGGAGGGTGAAAGTGAGCGTGCCAGTCCGTGTGTGCCTGTGCGGAGAAAGCGCGCGTGCGGGAGCGGTGCGGGTGCGGGGAGGGAGCGGGACGGGAGCGAGGCAGCGGCGGGGAAGGAGCCGAGGGAGGACGCCCCGGCTCTGCTGCGCCGCTCTCCTCTCCCTGGCAGGAATCGCTCTATTCTTTCTGCAGGCAGCCCGAGCAGCCGCGCTCAGCTGAGGGCTCCGCACCACAACAAGATTTACTTTAAGATACAGCTGAAGGAAACAGGAAGACTACACGTCACGCTCGGAGTGACGTGCGCGAGGCCCGGCGCCCAATCGGGAAGCTCCTTCGGATTCAAGGGGGATTGCGAGCGAGAACTTGGGAGGAAAGAGAGAGGCAGAGACGTGGGGGTGGCGGCGGCGGCGGCGGGTGGGGGGCGAGGAGGAAGAGGAGGAGGAACGGGATCGGTCTCGGTCACCCCCACCCCCACCGCCTCCCCCTCTCCAGTCCCTCTCCCCACCCCTCTCGTCCATCGCTGCTGATGGGAAGGAGAGTTTGGCATCACAGCGGGGGGAGGGCGCGCTGGACCCAGCCATCTGTGCCCGGTTCGGAGTTCAACTTTGCCCGGTGGATCCGTCCCTGGACTTTTTTGTTTGTTTGTTTGGGTGGGTGGGTAAAACATTGTGCGTAGCCCCTCCCCAAACATGTTTCTAAGAAACTGTGGCTGTCCAACAGAGCAAGGCGAAGCATCCATGCACACGACCTCTCTGGTGACCGAAGGTTCGCTGGGGGTGGGCGCAGGGGGGAGTCGCACGGGCCTGCCCCGATCTTGCGTGCCTCTTCCTTGGACGGAGGTCTCGCGGAGCGCCGAGGACACTCCCGGGGAAGAGCGCGCTGCTCTGGAGCGCGGCGCGGGGGCCAGGCTTCAGTCACCTTCCGCACGGAGGGCGCGCGCGCGCACCTTGCGGACTCGCTGCTGGACAAAACGGGTGCTGGGGAGTGAGAAAGAGCCCCCCAAACTGTGCGCGACAGATGCTGGGGCCGAGTTGGTGGGGGGGTTTCTTGCCGGGGGGGGGGGGCTGTGCGGTAGATTGACAGCCCGATCCACAAGCCAGTTAAGCCGAAGGCGCTCGATTAAAGCGGATCCTTTTCCTCCGTTTTTGCTTGGTGGTGGATTGGACTGGTTGCGGGGGGGGGGAGGGGGAGGGGGCAGGAGATAAGCGCGCTGAGCGAAGCCAAGGTGCCCTCAGTCTATTTAGGCATTCATGCCCTGTGAAGGACTGGGAAATGGTTCTCGAGGTTTGGCAGTTCCCTGAAACTACAGAACCAGGGGCATTAAAAAACAAAACCAAAACCAAAAACACCCTACAGAATCGGGGGTAATAAAAAGGTCAGTTTTATCAAGGCATATGCCTGCTCGCTGGCTCGCTCCTCTTTGCAGTCCTGGACGCAACACCTCTCTCTGGGAGACCCTGTGCGGCTGAACGACTCAGAATGCTCAGGAATTGTCTTAAAATGAATCAGGCAAGCCCTCTGTGATTTGAGGGGGTTGCCAGTCTCTTCCAAACCTGAAATACAAATTTGTTCGGTACTAAATCAGAGTTCTCCGATTTCTCGCCCTGGTCTCGGGAGAGAAACAACCAAAGAAGAAAAGGAGACCCGAGCTGGGCTGTAAATCCGGCGGATGCCCCTTACCTGTCCTGCATGTACCTCCACCTGTGTGTGCATAAGGGCAAGCCCCTAACGGGGACACAACAAAACCACCGTGTCCGTAGGTCACCCACCCGAGAGCTTTGGACCATGCTTTACATCACGGGGAGGGAGGAAATTAACTGCCTCTCTTTCCAATATCTCCGAAATAGAATCCGATCAGGGATTCTATATTTAAACAAAACCAAACCAAACTGCTATAGCTGCTTCGGAGTCATGACGCGGGTACGCAGGAGCCTCATAGCTTTCTCTTCACCGGACCTGTTCATGTCTTGAACAAATCATCTCCTTCTTCAGGAAAGGAGGATATTAAAATCTGCCCTAAAAACAGCACAGACCAGAACTTTAAAAAGTAACTTTAAGCTTAGACACCGCGAGGAAAGCAGAAGACCAACTTTCTAGAGAAGAGCAAAATCTGAGAAAGGGATTTCAAGCGCTTTCAGAAAGCGAAGGATCGCGGAACGTCCGCGGATGGGCGCAGATTAAGCAAATGCGCCCTTCTTCCTCCCGCCTCGGTCCCCGTGTGCTTGCAAATATTCTGTATCATCTTTCCAATCGTGATCTTATCTGTATTAGTTGTGGCCTCAGTAAAAAGATGTCGACACGCGGCGAGCTTGACAGGAAGGGCTCACGTGAATTTCGTGCCTGCCTCCCCAACTCTGCCACTGTGTCAATGGATCTAGGATCTTAACCTTCTCTTTCATTGTCATTTGTATCCTGGATTTCATTCATTCATTTATTTAGTAGTGGCGAGAGGAAAGGTTTATCTTGAAAAAATGCCCTTCTCCGGCATTCTTTTCTCTTCCTCCTCCGTTTAAAAAAGCCACCAATTTCAAAAAAGCGAGCAAACGGGCCGCGCGTCCAAAGAAAAAGAGTTGAGGGTGATCAAACAAGCAGGCAGACAAACAAACAAACAAAAACTTCTCAAAAACTCGAGTCTGAGAACACCTTTAAAACAGCAGCAGTAAAAACAGAACGCCAGCAAAGCGAGTGTGTCTGCAACCGGACTACAGGGGTACAGAGCGACGTGTGGATGGGGACCGTGGGCTACCTCTTCCACTGAGGAACTGTGGAGGATGGGAAACTGCGGGTGATTTCTTGGAGGAAGCAACAACCTGGGGAGGGGGAGACAAGAACTGGGCATGTTCTGGCCCCCATCGCCTCGGCTCCCCCTCGTTTTAAGGTACACGGCCACTTCCCACTCTTCGAAAGGGAGGCGAAATTAAGGTATGTTTGTGAGCATGCGAGGGGGGGGGGGAGCAGAAATGATCCACGCCCCCTTCCTTCCTTCCGCAGACTTCTGAACGCTACTTCATCTTAGGGGCTGTTATTATGCGGCCTTCCTTCCAGAGTCAACCTCACCCCCACCCCACCCCCGCGACCCTCTCCTTTCCAAGCTTTACTCCACGAGGAGAGCCACCACTTCGAACTGGGACTCGTGGAGTTCAGCTGGGGCGAGATCCCCCACCGGGATCCCCCGCTTGCGTTTTGAGCCGAGGTGCTTAAAGCGCGCGCGCTTCCCCCCCTTTCTCTGATCGGCTCCTTCCTTCTCCCTGGAGAAAAACTTCTGAATATCTGATGCGACTCTCCCATCTGTTTCCTAATCTGTTAGGTGAGGCAGAAGAAGTCAGAAGGAGAGAGAAGAACCGCCGTTGCGGGGAAGGAGAAGCAATCCGCACTTCCCACCGGGACGCGCTCCCTCCCCACCCCCGCCCGGCCTCCACTCCCGCCCTCCTTATCTTCGGGCAAAAGAGGGAACCAAAGTTTAGTACCTCTTGGAGATGGCTATTAAAAGAGAAACAGAGAGCCGGGTCTCTGAACTCCGTCAGTTCTCAGGGCAACTTCCGCTTTCTCTCTCCTCTCTCTCTTCCTTGCTTCCTTCTTTCAGTCCCGCATCTTTGCTGTCAGACCTTTTCCTTGTCCCTTAGTTCCCGATCAATTTGACCGCCCCCCGTGCCTGCGTGCACCGCCAATTTATAACTCAGGAAAAGCTCGACGGCTTCGATGTCTTTTTTTTCGCGGGGTTTTTTGTTTTTGTTTCTTTGTTTTTGGATACTTACTGTGTCCCCCCCACCCCTCTTCTTTTCTCCCCAGTCCTTTCTAATCATCCTGTTTGTAAAACGACAGAATAAAAGTCCGTGCCAGACTCCCGCGGCTGCTTGACGGCCTTTGTGTCAAACTGAGAAGCGCTCAGAGTCGGTGAAACGCGCAACCTGTCGGGCTGCTTCTGTTGCCGCTCCTCTCCCCCTCTCTCCGCGCCCGCCTCCAGCCCCGTCGCCGGGCCCGCGGAGGGCCAGCTCGCTCGGCCGCCCTCGCTCGACGCCCACCCCGCGAGCGGCGTAGCGAGCGGCAGCTGCGGGAGGAACCCCGCGCCGCGGGAGCCCAGCGCGTTCCCGCTGGCCCTTCTCTGGAGCGTGCTGTTTGTTTAACCGACGGCTTCAGTCTAAACAGGCATAAACGGGGCTTACGCTAAGCCAGGTCGGACTCGGCGTTTGCAACTGTGCGCCGAAAGTTTCTCGCGCCTGGAAGCACCGCGCTCCCCTCCCGGCCGCCGCCGGCTTAGCAAAGGCAGGGCGACTCTCCGCGGACGAGCGGACGGCCGTGGCCCCTGCAGGGTCTCCGCGCACGCCCGGCCCGGCCCGGCCCGCCTCCGGGGCCGCGTTCCCTCGCGTCTCCCTCTGTCGGGCTGCACAGCCCAAGAGCAAACGCGCCCCCCGTTTGGCCCGAACTGTTTCTTCGGAAGCCGGCTCCCTGCTCACCTCGCCCATCCTTCTTAGCGCCATAAACCCCGGGCATGTTTTACTGTTCCTCCGCACGTTTAGATTATGAATGATCCCGTTTTTCGGGTGGAAAAGTAAGGCTGAGAAAGAACAAGCCAGTTCCCTCCGGGTATGGCAAAGCAACCGCTTCCTTTCTCCTCCGCAGCAAGCCCTTGAGGCAGCGCGTGTTTCCTGAAAATCCAACAGGTGCAGCTTTTCCAGCAGTGAAAGCGGCGAAAGGCTTCACTTGAATCTGTTGATGTACCTAGTGCTGAACTTTTGCCTGCCTTGGTGCCTTGCCGGGTGGGGAGGGGAAGAAGAAGGGGGCAATCCTAAATTATCCAGAATATCTGTGGCAGAAGAGGAATTTGAATGTAGGACATGTACCTGTGCCAACTTCTCTTTATGGAGGGGGAGGGAAAGGATGTTTCTGAATGTTACAAGGCAATGGCAACTTGCAATTGACTTGTACCCGAGATATAGCCAGAACTGGCTTCCCCTCAGGCAACCAAACTTTCCAAAAATCAAGACATTAACAGATGGTGGCAACCACATGGAGAGATGATGTTGCTTAGAGAGAATCTAGTCATTTCACTCAAGCCGATAAAGAGTGAATCCCAGAAGGACACCGTGTATTCCGAGGAGTTCTGCACTTGGCCCATCTCTATCCTCTCCCTTCTGCTCCTGTTTCACCAGCTTCGTTTTTGAGAAATTTATTATTATTATTATTATTATTATTATTATTATTATTATTAAAAAAAGAAACACACACCCCACAAACACTTTCTGAAAGGGATGTTGGACCGCCAATTGTTTGTGTGGCATTATGGATGTTCAGAGATCTCTATCTGTACTGTCTAAATATGAAGAAATCACACACACACATTTAAAAATAAATGAAAATGAATGCTCCATGGAAAAAGCCAGGAAAGAAATAGATAACAGTGCTAACAATATTGCTTGGAAACTAGGATACAATCTTGGAACCCTAAGGAAAGTGAAAACAACAACACCTAAACCTTTGATTTGCTAGTAAATATTAATGTCTATAAGCAATGTAATTCACCAACATAATTTCCACTGGATCTCTGTCTGGTTGCCCCTTCTTGTACTGAGAAAGGAAGGAGTCGTGTTGCTGCTGCAATGCTGACACAGACCTTCACAATGAGGACATTTTAGGATTAGAATAATAAAGTGCTGCTTGAGTTCACTTCGGGAATTATTCCCCATAGCCCTTAATCATCTGTAACAAAGAAGGATCAAAATGACTTCTTAAAAGGAAAGGTATACAGTGACTTGAAAAGGTACCTAAGGGAGTTTAAGGAATAAGCTACTCACAACCTTACTGAATACAAAGACAATGAGCTTAATAGGTATTTGCAATATCCAGCTGGCCAATGTAGTCCATGGGTGCATCAATAGATCTTATGTGCTTAAAAAGAGGAGGCAAACTAGTTTTACTGTCATGGCGTTGCCTAAAGACTCCTGGGAACTGTCATTTGGTGAGTGGGAGGGGAGAGTTCCTTAACCTTCTTACAGGCCCATGGTTCATAGGAATCGTTGAACTGTAGACAGAAGGTAATGACACATGAGTATGCCTAAAGGAAACTTTGAGGGCAGCCAACCCTCTGCTTTTACTTGAAATCAACTTTTGCTCTCCAGAAGAGACTGGAGACTCCTGTGACAGCGGGGCTCCTTATCCAGGGCAGCTTTTATTCTGAGCTTTATTGGAGCTATCCATGGTGCTGAACCCCATCCCTAAAAGAGGTCTGCCACCATGGGGCTCAGTGGATAGCTTCTATAAAACTCATAATAAAGGCTGCTGTGGATATGAAGCCCCACTGACACCAGTGTCACCAGCTTTCCTGGAATGACAGGACTGAGCAATGTATCTTTTCTGCCTAGGCAAGAGACTTAAAATCTCCAGCACTGGCAGCTATGCATCCTAACTAGAATATCCCCCCTCCACTACTTCGTATCGCTTTTTAGCTCTTTTGGATTATTTTATCCTATACTTGGTCACGTTGACTCTTTCATGGTGGTACCAATAAGTGTCAGGACAGGTAATAACCCAGGTTGCTCAGGAGATGATGCCTTCTTGGGGTGGACTCAGGAAGCTGCCTTCTGATCAGGTTTGATGGTCTGCACATCTAGCCCAGTACTGTGACTGGAAGAGGCTCTGCAAGGCCTGGTACCTCGTCTTTTCAATGAGCAGCCTGGGATTGAAATCCTACAGCAAGCAAAACAAGTGCTAGGCTCTTCCTCAAAAGCCAAGCCCCTGTTCACTACTTCTCTGGCAACAGAACCCAGGACCTCTTGCCTCCAAAGGCAGGACCATACTTTTCTAGGAATGGAAAACCAGTTTTGTGTTGAGGGCCAAATTCCCTTGTGGATAATCTGCCAGGCACTGCATGATGTTGGTGGGTGTGGCCAAAGCCAGTGGTGGGCAGGACCAGAGCCCAAAGTGGGCAACTCACTACTCTCTTTCAGCCACAACCTGTTGCCTTGCTCCCGTCAAGGGAGCTTGTCAGGGAAGCAACAGATCGCTCTTGTCAATGATCTTTGAAATCTTTGGGTCAAGAACTGTATGAAATTAGGCAGAGTACCGCATGGAGCCCTAGGGCCACAGGCTGCCTACCCCATGACTTGGACAATATCACACTGAGAGTGAATGCACTTGGAAATAAGTAGACTCATAACATTAATGGATAAATTAAATGAAAAATCTTTTGATAGACTGAAAAGAGGTTCCCATGGCAGAATTTTGAAACTCTGAAAAACGTTGAGCATTCAAAAAGTGAAACAAACAAACAAGTATTTATATAAACTGCAGATGGCAAATGCTACTTTAAAAGATTTATTCGATCCAGTATTGTAAGAGAATGGGACATTAGCATAAAATTGCACATCTAAATAAGCTGTTATCCCTCTTCCTCCTCCTCCTCTTCCTCCTCTAATCCTTGATACAGAAGAAAACTAGGAAGTAGAAGGGAGGTTGGAGGTCTGACATCCTACTTTTAAAAATGTGTTGTGTGTGTACGTGTGGTGAGACCTTTAATCATCAATACATACAAGAAACATAAAATATGGGTGCAATTAAGCTATGGCCCAGAGGACTTTTTCTTGTATATTCCCCCACCCCATCTCAGTCATAATAAGAAAATGTGTATGCCAATCCATCTTTCACCACCAGAGCACCAAGACCATGAAGCCTAGACATCTGAAACTTAGCATGCATTCTAATAAGACCCTAGAGATGTGAATCCAATAACTATTTTGTTTCCAAAACATAATGATTAATTTGTATGTGTCTACGTACCTACTTTAGATCTTTTAAAAATTTACAATTTTAAGCACAGAGAAATTATGTTTCCCTATTGCAAGTTCTATTTACCAGCACAGCAACTAACCAAAATTTCTGAGTGGTCTTCAAAGGTAGTCCCATGCAGAACATGTGGCAGAACATGTTGTACTCCAGTCTGGTGTGTAAATAACTTTGGCCAAGCAATCTCTGCTCAGGGAGAGTTGCACTAGCGCCAAAGGAGCATGTAGCTGGTGGAAGGTGCTGTGTGCCACAGAAGACCCTTGGGGTCAATAGACATTTCCAGACTGTGAACCTGATCCTGTAGGTAGAGTCCAATCCCATAAAGAAAAGATGTACAAGTGCTTGGTAAGATGAACCATCCACCAAGAGCACCTTCATTTTTTCTGGATGAAGCCTCAGGTTAGTCAGATCATTAGCGATCTCTGGCAATGAGTTCAGAGCTTTATCTCCCTTAGCTTAAGTCTGATGAAGGTAAGAAATGGAGCTGGTTGTCACTGATGTACTGATGCTGCTTCACTCCAGATCTCTGGATGATATTATCCTGCAGCAGGGATGCAAGCCTCAAATCAGAATCTGGCTCTCTTGCACTTGATGGACTTCTTTCCCACTCTTGGCCCTAGGCAGGAACCGAGTCAAACTGAGATCAAGTTCACAAACACTCAGGTACGCTAGCAGATTCTTTGTGCAAATTAATGCAAAGTACACAATTCTTTGCACATCCCACAAGTCACATGTGAAGAAGCAAAACTCTGCTTGCACTCACTTCCTGCCAGATACCCATACAAATGCTCAGTGTGAGGAGCATTTGTGTGGGTATCTGGCAGGGAATCAGGGGATAGAGAAAGTGGGCAAAGTCCATGGAGCTGAGCTGAGGAAATCCAATGGATGTCTACCCTCAAACTGGATTCCTCACATATCCCTATCCACCAGTTTCATGTAGATATTAAAAACCATGGTAGAAAAGTTTCCACAGGCTGAAGCTGTGGTTCCGCAGCATCACGTTCTGGAACCGAATATTCAAGCAGAGCAAACCCATAGTTCCCGACTTGAACAAACCACTCAG